TTTACTTTTTGAGGTACACCAATTTAACTATGCATGTTTGAGAGTGATTATACTAGATGCACTTGATGCTCTTATAATAAACTAATAATAGTATAAGTGCACTAATTTGACGGGGTTTCTCAAAGCTTGTAGTACTGTTAACATGTGCATAAGTATACTGTATTCTGGTTCTCGATTATTCTTCGTCTCTCCTTTGGCCTTCCACCACTCCCAAATCCCAATTTCTCTAGCATTCCTTTTCTACTCTCTACTTCAAAATTCAGTACAAAAATTTGAATGGAAGATTTAAAGAAAAAAACCCTAAGAGGAAAAAGGTAAGGTCAATCAACTCAATAAATCTTTCAGTTCTTTTCATACTTTCCAAATATAATAAATCTTATTGTTCTTTTAAGAACCTAATAATAGCATAAATATACTATATCACCAGGCTGATTAATTCTCCTTAATTGAACATAGATGATTCATGTATTAAGATATAGGTACAATATTGTTATCCTAACTCCTCCTCTTTCTCTTTTACGTTTCTTATGGTTGCATAGAGGTGATACATGATTTTTTATATCCATGGGTGTGTAAAGAACTCTAAATGCTTAATGTTGGATCTTGACTTTATAATATTTTAAAACTTTACAAGCAGCTTATTTAATACTACATAATATACTCTTGTACTTGTTGTTGTATGGAGGTGGTGAAAGTTTACTACAAAAGATTGAGAATTTTTTTATGCTCCGTCAACTATACATATAGTTTATGACTTCAAGATCTCCCTTCTAAGTTATCAGAAACCTTATTTTGGACTATCTTCAAAAGTTGAGCTATGCAACTGAGCTAATAATTGGACAATGATTTGCAGAGGTCGTGTCTGCCAGCTTGAGCTAAGATATTTCACCAAAGTAGATCACATCAATTTGCCGAGTTGGATTTCAAATACTGTTTTCCAATCTCAAGAATGTTAAAATTGTCGGCTACCTAATGATGTAGTTGAAGGCGTGGTCTGAAGCAGAGTTTTGTAAGCTTTTCGAACCTTTGAGGTTTCTACTAAAGAATGCAGTGGCTTTGCAAAAGTTTGTTATCCTAACAAAGAGGAGAAAATGTTTCACTTGTTTAAACAACGGTGTGTTCCGGCATTTATCACGATTGACTAAGAAATTGTTACACAGTAAAAAATCATCAACAAATTTCGTGATTGTTTATCTACAGATTGCTTAGCCAACCGTTATAAATAATCACGAAATTTGTTGTAGTGTTTCTAGCCACTGCAACAAATACATATTTATCAACAAAATATAAGGTGTATCTAGCGGTTAAGAGTTGTGAACCTTGCGCTAATTTGATGTGTTATATATTTGAAATTCTGGTTGCACCACAGAAGATGGAAGAATACGAGGCTGCCGGTATGAAGTAGGAATCAATCCCCCAATCTATCGATTCAGCTTATAACAATTTTCTTATTAGGATCATTATGTATGAAGTACAACTGAGTTAGAGTTGAATTGTGATAAGAAAACTTGGAATCTATGGGCATGTTAATTGAAAACCCACAAGTATCGACTATCGTGAAACAAGCACTTGATAGTTGATCCTGATCCTGTGGGGTTGGTCCTAAATATCTCAGGGCACGTAGGTTATAAGATGGATTCAATAGTTTTTTCTACAGTGGAAACATTGAGCACAAATCTATTCACAACTTTGTTGGAATGTATGCGTCCACGTTTTCTATGGGACCAGATCCTACTAATCCCAACTCTAAGCAATACCTCCTATTACTTAGATGAGCCAGAGCAGATACAACACTGCCCACTAAGCTATCACCCTTAGATAACTTAGACTTTGCTAAGCGGATACAACACCGTCCACTATACTAATCCTAACCGATTAATATAGACTTTTAGAGTAAGAACCTAAGTTACCCTTAACCTAGTTCTTACAATGATTCAAACAAGTTTGAAACGTTTCTTTCACAAGTGAAACGGATCTTACAATATCAGAACTATTACAAGTAAACAAAAGCAGCTGGTACAGAAAGCAAATCGCAGCACTTCAATCAAGTCCCTTGCTGTTCTTGAAGCTTGAAAGACTCTCTTTTTGAATGAATGCCTTAATATTGTTGTGTCATGTTTGATATATACCATGAAGAGTTATTACCAAACGTACAAGCAACCTCCTTGCTTCTGATTGGTGAAGTACTCTGCAGCTTCACCAACTTTCTGACGCAGACAGTTTTTACAGTTGTACAACACTTTGCCAGCTGGACAAGTATTCATACTCTGCAGAGGACCAGGTCCCTGCACTTGTGAGGAGATCATCAAAACATCTAGGAGTAAGCACTTATCAAACTCTTTTTGAACTTGGATATTGGGCAAACATTTATAGTTTCTAGCACTATCTGACTATCCAAATGGTTGCTGGATTATTCCAATCCTCTAGATGTCCTACAGTAGTTGCAATGATTGGGAATTAGTTTTGCAAAGAAGAGGATACTTATAATGGGTATTTAGAATGCTCACACTTCTGTTGGGAATATTACAGGGTCATTAGTTACATCAATATATTGAAATACGGATGGGTTGGAATTCTTTATCTGTTCTTTTTCAGTTTCTCATTATGTCGTGCCCATAACATACATGATTTATTATAAATGCTACACACTTTCATTCTAATCACAATTGAAAAGTATTGTTCTTTCATCTAAATAGTCAGGGGGTTAACCAACCTCAAGTGGTCCTTATTGGATGGAGCTTTCCATTTGACTCTTCCTAAAGAGTCTCATGATCTGGATACGGATAGCCAAGATTGTTTTGATGAAGAGGGATAGCCAAGATTTTCTGGAGGAATTTGAGAAAGTTGCTACTTATGGAGAAAATGGAAGTAGCAATTGTATTCGAATCTTCAAGCGCAGGGCTGAAAAGAAGGCGAGTCTTCTTAACTACCTACTGTTGAGATTTGTTTTTTTCCCTCACAATCTTGACTGTTCTTATGCTGTTCCATAATAGAAAATATCTTCCTTTTTTGAGATATTCGATTATTGAAAAAGAACATTTTCTTGGGTTCCCGAATGAATGGAACAATCTCACTTGGTAGTGAAGGAACTAGGGAGTAGGGAGAATAAATTAGCAATGATGGTATGTTGGTTACTCCAGCTCTTTTGTTGCCTCAACGTTCCAGATTTACAAGTAAATTATTATGTACTATGTGTTAGTTTACCTGAAACAACTATTGCTTTAACTACATGATAACGTTGATCTTAGTAGATACTTTTACAACTATTCGGATTTGACATTACATCTTAGTATGATCGTGAGAAATAATAGAGGCTACGATTCCAAATGCCTCTATGTAGTGTGTTATTCTTGGTGAGGTTTGTCATCTAGATAAGTGATTTTCTTTTTTCCTTGCTATGTGAATTCCAATATCCATTTGCATACGGAATTAGAACAAATGACCATGTTTATTATTATTATAGTATACGTGTTATTCTGTGTTACTAAGCTCCTGTTAAAGCTAATTTAGTTAGTTTTTCTTATATGGATTTCTACTGTAGTACATTTCATTTTATGTGAAAAACAAAGTACACAAAGAGCTAGCAAGTTGTAATAAATAAAAATGATCCTCTGTTCCCTGAAGTTTCATTTTGCATATATAGAAATGTTCATAAATATAGTATTCTTGACGAAAAAGATGTTCTATAGACATTACTATAATTGAGGCACTAAGAAGTTATAATATTAAGACATAAAGCAGGGACAGTACACAAAGAGCTAGCAAGTTGTACGTAAATAAAAATGATCCTCTGTTCCCTGAAGTTTCATTTTGCATATTTAGAAATGTTCACAAATAGAGTATTCTTGACGAAAAAGATGTACAATAAACTTTACTATAATCGAGGCGCTAAGAAGTTATAATAATATTAAGTAAAGAAGGGATGTAATTATGTCAACTTAAAAAATAGAAGACATGTAAAGCTGTAATGTAATGTCAACAAAACTGTATGTTATGGTGCAGGCCTCCGTTAGCTCTAAGATCTTAAACTTGACATTACATACATGACAGATCGTACGAATAATAAATCAAAGTCACTTGGAAGATGTTTTGTCGTTATTTATTTGTCCGTTGGTATGCTCATCTCTTACTCAATTATATATATATATATATTGGATAGTTTCATTGATGCCCTAAAATGTTTTATGATAGTGCTTTCTGAAATATCTTATCGTAGCACTTTCTAGCTGGTCTGCTTGATTACAAGGTAGTCATTCTTTCTTTTGTTGAATCTTAGTAGTTGTAGACTTCCATTGTAAGATGAAAATTCACAAATTGAATATTTTCTACTTTATGTGCTTTTTGTCTTTAATTTCAAGCTTTTCTGTTACATGATCAATCCTATTAGTTTTGTTCATTACTAAAATAATGAATCGAATCCTATCAAATATTTCTATTTCTCCTTTGAATTACTTATATATATCCTATGAATTTCATTTCGCACCGGAAATTATTCTAGGAGAAGTTCGAATCCGTTCCGTTCTGAAATTGATTGGTCTTGGTTTGAAATGGTTTACGCGTTACTGGGTCCCGGAAGAGTTAATATCTCCATTAGCTAATTTGGAATAGATGAAGTGGATCTGTTGTGAAGTTAATCTGGAATTGATTTCCTCGATCTACCATCTGATTCTATTTAAAATGGCTTTAAATGGTGTACAATATTTACAATTCAAAAGAGGTAAGTATTAATTGACTTGATTGACGGTAAAAGAAAAAGAAAAAACCTAGAAAATCAAATAGTAACTTTGCATATGACAGCTTAATTAGAACCTAATAGTACTGGAGAGTTAAATATGTAACCAATTGTTAAATATAAGTAATAATTGCCAATATAAAGAATAACACAAAATAAGCAATTCTACTTCAAGTCCATTTCCTTTTTATTTCTCTCTATATGTGATCTCTGCCCTCTAATTTTAATTTGCAGTTTTTTTTGTGGTAATTGCCAAAAATATATGATCTCTGCCTTCTAATTTTAATTTGCAGTTTTTTTGTGGTAATTGCCAAAGCAATTGCTATGTTCATTGCTTTGATGTGTGGATGGCAAACAATAAAGTATTTGACTAATTAATTCTTGATTTTCATCACCTTCTGCAATTATCTTTTCCAGAAAAGCGCTTTCTAGGTATACTCTTAACAGATGTGTTGATATTTGACTCACGCGCAGAGGATGTTGAGCTTAAGCACGTCTAATGGAATTACTTCATGCTTCTACAGGTACTGTCATCTGTTGTCACAAACTGCAAGAAGCAATTATGCACGCACTGCTTCTCTTCTATAATACTCACTAATATTTATTTTTAACTTTCTTCTTAATTTCATTTTCTTTTAGTTGATTGGTGTTTACCTTCTTCGGGAAGGTATTTCAAAACTTTTCCTTATATTGTTTTCAAAATAATAAAGAAGTTTGATGACTTTAATGTTCTTGTGATGAATTAGAAACTGTACAAAACAATATCAATGATTTTGAGTATTTTGTCCAAGTGATATATTTATATCTTTTTCATATTGTAGTTAAAAAGTATTGTACTATCAAAGATGTTTATAGAAGTTATTGTTGATGGTTACAACTACTTCACACATATAAATGAAAGTGACATGTTCCACTTTCATTTAAATCCAATTCCATCCACAAAGTTAAATGGAATTGTATATTATCTCTACTTTTTTTGGTGTTAACAACTTTGTATAGATGATATAGATCAGATTATAAATTTGATAGAAAATCTGTAATTATCCCTTTTTGGAGGTAGTCATCATTAAGAATTCAACCTTAACACTTTTAAAAAAAAAAGATATGCTCCCCCCATGTTGATACATAAGATAATTATTTTTAATGAATTTTCTCAGTGATACTTGACTATCAAGTTCAATTATATGATTCTCATGATTTTGCCTCGGGGTTTCATAAATTTCTTTCTTCCAAGAAGGAAAATTAATTGCTTGATATGCTGAAGTCTAACCTTTTCATTTCAGATGATTGAAAGTATGTGGAATAAATAGCTCTGAACTAATCTATAAATGGTAAGAAAACGATCTTTGAGGTCTGTACATTTGCTTAAAGGTTAAATCTTCTTATATATATAAATATATGAGAGAGACATAATTTGAAAGGCTCATCTTACTTATTTTCACATTATGCAGGTTATAGTAAAATATGTTGCTTTTGTAAAATGCTTGACCAAGAGGATTATGACACTATGTGGAGTTATCATTGTCATGTGTCTCTTTTCTAGCTCCGTTGGACCTCTAAAGCTTTATATTACTGAGATGAATATTTATGTTCTAAGGAAACAGAAAAATGATCAACGATGGAGCTTCAGAGATCTTGGATGGATTCTGTGTCTATCTACGTATGCCTAAAAATGTGTTCTTTAGTGTAAACCTATGTTGTTTGGATTCTTCAAAATTGTCTTAAACAAAAATGTCTGAGGGATATGTTTCAGATTTGTCAAAAGTAGTGTATTTTTGAAAAATCCGACACGGATGAAAAGTGAAGAATTTGCGGAACCAAGGTGTAAACTGAAGTACACATCAACCAATTTACTTATATATAGAATTTGCTAGCGTCAATATATTAAGATATACGAGCTAAGTAATTTTAACTTTTATGTTTTCTCCATGTGTTACATTTTCATTCTTCTAATTTTTACAAGTTATCCTTCATCACTATGTAACTATGCAAAACATCTTTAAATTGATAACATATCAAAAATATAGATATTGGGCCCGTGCTGCCCATCTAGTATATATATATATATAAATCATGAATTCAAATTCATTTATTTTAACAAAACAACCACAAGATTTATCAAAACTTTTTGTATTTTATAAATAAATTATTCTAAGAAACAGAACATAAAAAAACAAAGATCAAACATAGAAAAAATAACACTAATTAATTGCAAACAATTTACCATCAAATATGAGTTTACGTTAAGTAAATTTATAAATAAAAATTTGATAAATATTTAACAGAGACCAAAAAATACTCATATTTAATAAACTTAAATTAAAAGACCAAAATCACTTAGATGACATTTAAGGAACTACTTTAAACGTAGCACTGAATATAAGGGATCATTTGTGTCACATTTTCGCTTATAAGAAGGTGATTTTTTTTTCTTGTTGCAAATTAAAAGCCGTTTGTTTGTCTTTGTCATGACTTCTTCTTCTCTAAAATTGGTTAAATGGAGTTTCTTGTTTTTGGTCTTAAACCATAATTTTCAAAATATTGAGGGGTGTTTCGACTCCATTATTAGTTTCGGCGATTCGCTTGCTGACACTGGAAATAAACTTCATATCACTCTAAACAAAATCCCTCCTTCCCATTTCTCCTTGCCACCTTATGGTGAAACCTTCTTTCATCATCCTACCGGTCGCTTTTCTGATGGACGTCTTGTTATAGATTTTATTGGTACGTATCTACAAATTTCCAACATGTATGAATTTTTGTCCATTGTTAATTGCGCTCTCATATTATATTATTCAGGCTCCAATTGATAAGCCTAAACGTTTATGCAAAGATGTTAAATGTCCCATATATATTTTTGTGATCACTTGTTGTATTTGTAGCTGAGAGTTTTGGGCTCCCATTAGTGCCAGCATATTTGGAAGGAAAAGATGAAAGGAATTATATTGTAAAATTCAGGCAAGGTGTGAATTTTGCAGTGGGAGGGGCAACAGCACTTGATTCTGCCTACTTGTTGGACAAGGGAGTAACGTCCAGTAACAATGTGTCTTTGGGGACTCAACTGGATTGGTTCAAAGATATGATGTCTTCTTTTTGCAAATTTCCATCAGGTTAGTAATATTAGAATTTTCCTCTTATAATTAGCCTGCTTTAATATTTAAGAAAATAGAACAAGCCCTGGACCTGGACCCGGACCATCCATGCTTCTGCGCCTTACGTATATTTTGACTTGACATTTAAGAAAGAAACTAGAAGTTGAACTGCAATGAAATTAGAAAATGTTTAGCTTGCCTGAAGTGTAAGTGCACTGAAGAAGGTGTGAACAAGACCCAGCATTCTGTTGCTCTTGTCATCAAGTTGGAGCAATCATTAGTTGGTAGGCTATTGCTCTCTCCGTCTTAATTTAAAAGGCAAAAGGGTCAAAATTGATCCTGAACTATGTGAAATAGACTAGTTAATTAATACCCTTTGTTAAATTGTCAATTAGGATTCTCACTAAATTATGAGTCATTAATTCTGACCCGATTTATAATCCACCTAAGCGGTACCAATTAGTCAAATATTGAGGCCATAAATTTGTTGAAAAACAACACCAAGGTCCCTCTGGTTCTCATGATATGAAACATAAAACACCCTTAAAATTAAGAAGCACAAGAATGGATGACTGAGTGGTAGATCACTTGATTTAAAGATAAAGTGACAGAAAATAGAATAAATCAAGTAGTCGTCTGTCCACAATTCAATAGGTCCCATATTCAACAACCGCACTTGCTTTTGCCTTAAATACATAACTCAAGTTGAACAACTACAGCTACAAATAAACTGTTTCTATGAGCCATTTGATCATATCAAGCAGAGGGCACTTTCTCGCATCTCGTTTTTCACACTCAGAAGAAGAAAAAGACCTGAAGGCAAATCATCGTAGTTAGAGTTTGAGTTATAAATCTGGTCAAAATTAATGGCTCATAATTTAGTCAGAATTCTAGTTGGCACTGCTTAGGCGGAGGGATTAGTCTCTAGCTTGCCACATCATTAAAAAATTGGATTGTTAACTCTTGAGGGGATTTGTTATCTCTTGTGAGAACGATGGCGACATTTTTAATCCAAAAATGTAATGGAAAGTATAAGTGGTCTATTGCATAGTTCAGAGCAATTTTCACCATTTTTTGTAATTCAAATGACACTTTTTTTAGTATGTCCCAAAAAGAGTAACACAATTTCCTGTTTATAATAACAATTCAGCTTTAAAATGTCATTCTACCCTTAAATGAGATGATCTATAATCACACAAAATATCTACAACTTCTTTTAGATTACAAATTTAAAATAAATAGCTTTTTCAAGTTTCGTGTCAAGTTAAGCATCATATAAATTGAAATAAACAGAGTATTTCTGAGCAGCATGGTTAATTAGTTGGTGGGTATCTTTTAGCTAGCTGACTAACGAGTAGGGCATATTAATTGTTTTTAAAAAATACGAAGGATAATATGAATTAACCTATTGTATAGTTCAGAAATATTTATAGCCCTTTTAAAAAAAAGTTATAGAATATATTTGGACAAGTTTTTCTTCAACATTTGTCTATCACCAACTCTTTTTGATTATGTCACAAAGAATGCAAGGAATTTCTTCAAAACTCATTGATACTTATGGGAGAAATTGGAGGCAATGATTTCAACTATGGTTTTCTTGGAAATAGCACCAAGGAAGAGGTTGAATCATATGTTCCAGCAGTCATCAAGACTCTTAGTTCAGCTATACAGGTCAAAACAATCTTCATATTGCTTTACTTCAAAATAATAAACCATTGTACGTAATTTAATAATTAATTGATGATGCGCGCAGGAATTAATCGAGTTAGGCGCAAGCACACTGTTAGTTCCAGGGGATTTGCCGATTGGATGTTCAACAGCTTATCTCACAAAATATATGCACTCAGATAAGGGACAGTATGATCCCAAAACTGGTTGTTTAAATTGGCTTAACAACTTCTCACAGCAATACAATGAGCTTCTTCAGAAGGAACTTCATCTTCTAAGAGACCTTTATCCTGCTGCTACAATAATCTATGCTGACTACTACAATGCAGCCATGCAATTTTATGCCTCTCCAAAGAGCCATGGTAATTATTAATTTCATTTATCACTCCTCCGTTTAAATTTATATTTTTTCATTTGAATCTTTAATTAAAAATGCGTGTAAATTTTTTAGTCTTAAATATTAGTTGAGCTTGAAATGCCTAAAAGTTGTGTCACTACTAGAAAAAAAGGTTTTTCCCACCATGAATTTGTGTGATACATAAATATGATTTTCCCACTCATTTTCCATCGAACAAGTTCACTAAAAAAAAATGCATGATCTGAAATAGATTCTCATCGAACTAGTGAAAAGCTTCCTAATTTTTCCATATGAAACATTTACTATTTTTTTCTTTTCTCATCAATTCAATCAGAATATCAGTGGCTGAACATTTTTCAGAAGGAAAATAGTGATTTTTTAGTGGTGTATTTTCACTTTGGAGTGTACTTAATTGTCTTCATATATTCAAGGATTTTTCACGTATCTCTCTCTAAATTAACTACACACACAAATGCACATATTAAAGTAAAACAGCTAAAATTTCCACCTCTAAATTAAATCAAGCGAAAATATAATGGCATAGCTTTCTATGTATATTGTTAAAATCAAAGGGTTATTTGTCATATAATATTACTAACATTTATATATACTCATGTTATGTTTTATGTTTTATGCCTTATGATATTGAAATTGAATGAAGCGCTAATCTTATGATTCATTTTTAAAAATCAATGAATTATTACAGGTTTTAGAAAAGGAGCTTTAGTTGCATGTTGTGGGGCGGGAGGGCCATACAACTTTATGTTTTCTACAATATGTGGGGATCCAGCTGCCAGAAATATTTGCAGTGACACTTCAGTGTATGCTAGTTGGGATGGAATGCATTTTACAGAAGCTGCATATAAATGGATTGCCACTGGACTTTTAAAAGGCACTTTCACTTTTCCTCCCCTCCCTAAAATATGCACTGATCGCTTCAATCCAAATGTAAACCAATTTTATGATTCTGAGTTGTTTGGTGTGAGATATAAGGTATAATAATTTCAAAAATAAAATGCAGGATATTTTATCTTGTGTTTGGTTGAAGTTATTAGACAGTCTTGAAATTATTTACACTACAACAAAAACAATTATTAGCAGCAATAAATAGTGTATTCATTTTTAATATAAATTTACGGGTCGGATATTCTATTTAAAAGAGTGTATTCATTTTTTAAATATAAATAAATGACATGTGGTAATTAAAAGGGGAGGTGGCAATTTCACTTATTATTTCAAGAAAGGAAAAATGAGTTGGTTATTTCCAACAAAACAACTAACGTCTATAAGGACATATCTATGTGAAAAGTTGAATGGCGAGGGCCCGAATGAGCCAAACTTCAAACAGGGGTGTATCTAGACATTTTCGCATAGTTTAGAGGCATATTTGACCCTTTTCTCTTAAAGAAATAAAACACAATTATAATGTTACCAAAAATAAATTAAAGAAACAGGGTTGTGTTTCCATTCTACTTTTATATGAAGTCCAAACACATTATTATCCTTTCACGCAAATGAGATGAAACATTTTTTATTTATGTGATTGAGGTGAAACATTTTTGCTTGAACTAAAAATTATCATCTTCGTGATCCACGAGAATCCAGGATCCATTTTGTTGTTGAACCATTCCTTTATTCTTCTCAATCCGCCATTAAAAAAAGATAAATTTGTTGTCTAAACATTTTTTAGATATTTATGTGGAGTCCAGAGTCAAAAGGACAACTTTTTTCCTTCAAAAAAACATAAACAATATATATATATATATAAATATT